AACTCTTAAAATCAGGGACGGGCTGTCACATCTCAACAGAGGCGCAGACCCTCAATTCCCAAATGGACGAAACAACTTTGTTTGTTTGATTCGTCCGGAAAATGCAGTAGTGATAATTCTAGTGTTTTTTTCAAAATATGTAGTAGCAGAGGTTAGAGACCACAAAAATCTCCTGTTGATGAGGGATTGGCGTGAGATTAAGGAAGAAGATAAGGAAGTTTTTTGGAATAGAATAAAGGTATAGATATTTTTATTTTTACTTGAAAATAGAAGAATAAGTCCATGATTGTAATAATAATTGATTAGCTTGATTTTTTTAATTTTTTATGGATGTAGGGAAATATTTTTTTTGAAGATGCAGATATAGTAAAAATGCCTATGATCCGCCATATGACGCTTAAGGTTGCGGAGCATGCGCACAAAGAGTATAGAAATAAGTTTAAAAAAAGTATTATACTAAAAGAGCAACAGAGGTGCGCAACCACCCTCCTTCTGATGTGAATCATGCACAGTGGGTTGAGTTGGTGGCATACTGGAACAGAGAAAAAAATAAAGGTAATCGTTATATGATTTATTTCGTTATAACTTTTAATTTGTCTAATAAATTCTTTTTTTTTCAAGAAGTTGCTGAAAAAAAATAAGATTAATTAGCTATTGAAAACAATGAACCATACTACTGGTACAAAATCTTTTGCAAGAGTGCGGCAAGAATATGTATGGATTGTACATTTTGAAGAAATGTTATTAATTTTAAATAATCTATAGTTGTTAGAAATTTTATTTTTAATATGAGGTTTGCTTAAAATTGCTTGAATGAAATTTTATTTTTGATAAAGCGGAAGAAGCATGGGAAAAAGGTAGATCCTGTTACCTTTTTTCGTGAATGTCATACACAAAAAGATAAAACTTGGATTGATGAAACATCGAAGCGTACAGGGGTAATTGAATTTTTCATGTTAGTATTTCATTGTTATTAATTTTTATTATCTGTAGCTTATTTTTCAGTTTTACGATTGTTTGAATTTTTATTTTTAAAAATTGTAGTGCAAGGCAACAATGGAGAACAATCTGCAAACTTTGATTGAGTCACAGAGGATAATGAAGAACTTAGGACCCGAGTTTATGTTGATACAATGGGTCATGAGAGTCATAATAAAGTCAGAGGATATGGTCATGGGGTGACTCCTAATATGGTGTCCTATGCATCTTCTTCATCTTCTACATCAAATTCCTCCAGGAGGTCATCTAAGAGTACAATGGCAGTGCTGATGACTCAAAACAATGAGTTGAGAATGAGGGACAAAGATAATACTAAAAGGTTAGCGGACCTAGCTGTAAAGATTGAACAATCAAAGAACCGGCAGAATCAGGCCGCAACCACTGCATAGCCTGGGAACCTAACAGTCAGGCTAGAGTCAGCCTCCTCATTCTCAACAGTCGGGCCAAAGTCAGCCTCCCCTTGCATATCCGTATGCAGGCCATAATCAGCAACCCCCTTCATATCCTATGTATCTGATGCTTACGCAGCCCATGGCATACATGCATCAACCGCCCATGCCATATATGCAGCAACCTCCCATGGCATACATGCCGCAACCGCCTTATCAAGTGCCAGTATATTAACCCGAGATGGCTACTCCTGGTGGATTTTGTCCTGAAGTTCCTGCTGGGGTATTTTCTGGAATGCTTACGGGTGCTGGATTTGATGTGGACTTGACGAGGGTTTTTGGATCAGATGGAGGATCTCAAGAAGGAGAAGGATCTGGGTCACATTCAGGCTCAGATTCAGTTGAGTAGTTTATATGGTTTGCTTTCTTGTCGGCTAAATATGACACTTCGATCGTTCTATCTTTTTGTTTTTGTATGTTATGTTTGTAATGTCGGATTTAGTGTTTGTTATGACGGATGAGTTTTTGTATATTATGACACACACCCCGTCCCGAAGTAGGGCATGCTGGCCGTCACGTGAGAGTGATGTAACCATTTACATAGTTCGGAAGCTTTAAAGATACAATTACTAAGATGTAACACCCGAGGGTGAGTCCTACTTTTGTGAATTCTGTCAGAACACCATGGGAATCCTCGTGAGCCACCAACACTGCTAACTAGAACCTGGAGGGGCGTAAAACAAGATTGAGTGGGTCAGTAAAACAAAGCTTTTCGAAAATATTTCATTTAATAATATTTCTAACCCCTCGCTGTAAAACCTGTATACTTTCCCAGAAAAATAGTATATAATATGTCAATTCACAAGTCTTTATCAAAACCAGAAAGTATGCCATGCTATGCATCAAAACATAATAAGGATGCAACAATATAACAGGTGAAATAATGAATCAACCGGAGACCCTGCAGTTGGTCCTGTACGGTTAATTCTAAAGCTCAATATCTAATCCAACCGGAGTCACCACAGTGACATGTACGGCGCTACTCTGTAGATAAATCGAAACTACCTGAAGTAGTCTGTACGATAAGAAAGGTGTAAGAATACGCTCTAGTGCTTCTCTCATCAACAGTTGTATAATAATCTAAAGTCACCTACAAGTCGGAACAACCTCTCATGGTCTGTACGACATGTCGGAATCACCTCTAGTGATCTGTACGACATGCACCTACTTGGATCCAAGGTGAGCGTGTGGTGCGGGGTGAATAATATAAGCACTAACACCAAGAGTGCAGGTTATGAGCTCTCAACACAATTCACATCATCAATAAATCATATGAACAATATAAACTCACCTGATACTCACCTGTGCGTCCACAGCACCATTTAACATATATATGCAACAATTACTAATTCATATATTTCATATATATATATATACTATTGATTTTTCCCAGAAATTGAATTTAAATGAAAGTATGTTTTAAAACCGTGAGGGAATGGTAAGCCCAAAGCGGACAATATCGTGCTACGGTGGTGGAGCGGGCCCGAGAAGTGGGTCGCCCCGGGCCGGGATGTGACATATTATGTGGGATGTTAGATGTAAAATATTTGTATATTTTGGCACTATTTTTCTTGTTAATTATTTTTATTAATGTTTATTTTGGCCTATACTTGAAATTTATTATTTTGGTTTTATAATTTTTTTAGTTACAATTAATTGAAAACGAATGCAGAGACAAATTTTCACAAATTATTATTATTATTAACAAAAGTGGTGTTGGTTAAGACTGTTACTAATTTGTATATTTTATTTATTTAATTGTTATCTGACGGTTAAGGGATATTTTATTTGTTTAATTTTATCACGATGTCGGTTAAAACCAACAGTAGGTTGGATATTTTATAGTTAAATTGCAAGTGCACATCGCTTTAAACCGACGTAATGTTGAAGTACACGTCGCTTTAAACCGACGTCAACATCGGTGTCGCTTTTAACCGACGCTTCTTAGTGGCGGATTAAGTGGACAAACCAACATTGAAGCCCTTTTGTGACGCTAGCATTGGTGTCGCTATTTCAATCTGACATTACATTGTTTTATGTATGATTTTTGCCAAATTTCCGACAAAGATTAGATTTCTTGTCAATGTTTGCTTCGCCGGTGATAGCCTATATCGTAGCATAATTGCAAATCACATGCTAATAAAGAATACAATCATATGCCAGTCGTAATTTGTTAAGAGCAAAGAAACGACAATACTTTAAGCTACAATACAAACATGCAGTTTTACTTGTGAAATCGCATTGCGATTTTGACTCCGTAAAACCTTAAAACGTCGATCAAATAAATGAATGTGCACTTTCAATCAAATTCCCAATCCTTCGTCATAAATCTACAAGATAAAAAAGCATAACCACCCGCTATAGGGGGCCATGGGAGAACAAAAAAAAATTCAAAGGTTTTTTAACTTTTGGATTCAGAAAGTAAAATTAAAAAAAAAAAAAAAAAAAAAAACCAATACAACTCTTCCGTTTCTGTGTTGGAAATTCATTTGCTCCTCGTGAAAGCTTCTAGTCGAGTTTATGCGGCCACAACGTTGAAGTTTTGTACCCATTTTTTAGTTGGCAGTTTATTTCCTCTATATAAACATTCCGCTCTGTTTGCAAAAGCAAGGACGTGGAGGAAATCCTGAACGTGCAATTCCAGTTTTACAGAAATACCCAATTTCTTTTATCCGATTATTTTTTCTGATTTTTCAGAACAGTGCGTTACTGTATAACCTCCCACCAAAATTAGATCGTGGGATAGTTGGAGAAAACTGCTTAACTTTGGCAGCTCCGTCGTATTCCATTTGAGGGGTTTAGCACGTCTCTTTTTTTTCTTTTTTTTTTATTTCCAATAAAAGGGATTTCAAATTTATGATTCTTTTACAAAATTACCTCTGGTTTTTTTTTTTTTTTTTTTTTTACCAGTTTTGGATTTTATTTGTTTGAGGGACTTATATTCAATTTTTTTTGTGAAGGCTTGTGACCCCAAAATAGACTTGTGGCTTTCTAATAGTAAAGATAGATTAAACTAAATAACATGATTAGTGACTAACCCCTAGGCCATCTCCAACCCAAGGGTCCAGATGGCTGAAAATAGTTCAAAAACCTTCTCCAACCGAAGGCTGGGCCAAATGGCTCGTAGGCCCACGGGACAAAAAGGGCCAAAGAGCCAACCTGTTGGCCCAACCAAACTAGGCCCTAGTCAGGCCACAAATTTGAATGCAACAGCTAGCTGACGTTAGCGTGATGTGAACTAGCCATTATATTTGAATTTTTTTTTTACAATTTTTTTTTTCAAAATTAAATAACATTAAGTAACATCAAACAACATGAAACAACATTAAATAACATTAACAACGGCTAGCTGACGTTAGTTACCGTTGGATTAGAAATATATTTTTTTTGGCCAAATTTTTTTTTAAAAAAATATTAAAAAATTCTCAATTTTTCCTATAAATTTATGTTGTTGTAGTTAACACACCCTGACCGGAGTTGAGGCATGTTGGTTGACAACCGAAGGTGACGTAACCAAAAAGGAAAATGATGCATAAGAAAAATACGGATAAATTTAAAACCAAAGCTAGCATTTATTTAATTTAAAGTAGCAAGTGCGCAGTAGTGGGAAGAACCCATAAAACACAAATGTTCAGAGCATCGATGATAGTACAACAAAAGTAGTGCAGTCAAAACTAATTAAAGTACTTAATACACAACCGGGAAAAAGCCCCTAAATTTATCTATGGAAATATCAGAATATGTCGGAAATTCCTCGTATCCCACAACGAGTTCAGCTATCTAAGTCCTGGAGGGGTGAAAAACAGAAGGGTGAGTGGGCAAAAACAAAGGTTTATAAAACACATTTATTTTCTGAACATACTAACCCCTTGCCGTAAAACATGTATAGTTTCCAAAAAATCATACTACATATAAGTATGAAATCAACTGTAAATCAACAATAAATCCAGAAATATGCCAATCATAATATCTTAATCGCAGCATAAGTAAAATTAGGTGCTCATCAATCTATGCTAACACACGAGTTCATGCAGAGGGATTCTGAAATGAACAAGATTGGGTGTAATCATAATATATGCTCTAGTACTACAATCACGTGAAGATTGGTGCTAGGCGTATCACATACAAGTTGGAGTTGCCTATTGCAACCTGTACGACAGGACTGGCACCTACAATGGATCCACGGTGAGCGTGCGGTGCGATGTAAACATACACATGAAGCCTGGCCCTGGCCTAGACGAGTACTACACTGGTGCAAGCATGCGTGATGAGCAAGTATAATATGTATGAACATACCATGAAAATTTGTAAATCTCAACAATATAATAAATTAAACATGGCATGATATGCATAAAATTAATCAAAACACTTGTGGAAACTATAAAAGTTTATATATTATATATAAAAACAAATATCCACTCACTGATACGTTAATGGATTGTAGCCTCCTAGCCTTGTTTGTCCTCGTACCTCCTTCGGGTAAGTCTCACCTATATGTGAAATAACTTTACCAATTAATTAATTAGGACATACACTACAAGGCTAGGAAAATCCCCCATAATTTGCTCAAATAAAGGGTTTAAATATATGAAAACATTCTACTCGACATCACGGACCTGTACATGTCAAGCACACGCTACCTCACGCACCCTCATGCACCGCCAGGTTAGGGCCACATGCGCGCCCATGCACAGGCACTACCTTCTTAAACTGTATAGAATAACCTATCTTTACTGGCTTTGGAATGCCAAACCTCAGTTGATTACTACACTCTATCCACTCCGTTATTTCTTACCCAAGGATGCACATTAGGTTGGATCGTGAACCTTGAAAGGAAAATAGCTGATGCAGCAACAACTGATGGTAGGAACTGGACACAGTTGTAGTCTAACAAACTTAGCTCCAAAAGATAGCAACTCAAGAATTCGAACATACCAGCAGACTGTAAAAGGAAGTAAATAACAGAATCAGTGACAAACAAGGGAGAGTATATAAATCAGCATCAGAACAGTCTGAAGTGGTCGCCGTACTTTGTTGTTCTCCAGGGCAGCTCTTGTAAAGAGCCTGGAAATCCAATGCATTAGTTAACAGTTGTATGACACAATGACATCAGTGCAAGGAAAAGAGAAGCAAAAACAACATATAACAACTAAGATGACCAAAAAGACGTCAAACCATTTTCTTGCCTGAGGAAATTCTTTGTTGTAGGAGGACCCGTGTCAGAGTTCAAAAATTTGACCACATCCCTCTCCATTTCCAACATCTAAATTTTAATTTCAAATTCAACATTAAGTTTTAAAAACTCACGAATAGAAATCAACTAACACAAAGGCACTCAAATTGCTCACCTCTTCCACCATGTAAGTATTATCTGTTACATAGCAGAAGTCTTCAACACGTGGAGGGCAAATCTCTTCATATTTTCTGCATTACAAAACCATACTCAAGTTACCATTTCAAGAATTTCCAGACAGCTTTTAAAGTTAGAACAAAGCTAGTATAAGGTATGCAAGTTCGTACGAGGCAACAAACATGCAAGAAACACCAAGAAGCTGTAGCTTGCTCCTGCTGACAGCATATGAAGAAAGGTATCTGTCAAGATATGATACAGTGAGATAAAGGGTGTCTGTAGCAAGCTGGTATTCCTCTGCAACCTCCACCAACCAATCCACCAGAATTTCACGCATGTTTGGTGAAATATCATTTTGCACCCTACCCATGTAACTGGGTGACGGCCTCTTGTTCGCCTCCATCTGAACCACACACTACCAGTGTCAACCATTAACTTAGATACCATTATTCTATCTATCTACAGATACAAGTGTGTTTGCTGATGCAAAAATGAAGGTAGAGAGAAAATAAAAAGTGGGATTATGTTGGTTTCATTGTTATACTGAAAAAGTAAAAATTTACACCAACTTAACTTTATGTCTTACTTGAGCTAAGCTTCTGTTGATAGCACATTAATCCTATTGATTTTTCCTCCATACAACTGCCTAAAATACACTGGTCGATGGTGCAAAAACGGGTACAAACAGCTTCTGAACAAATTAAATGGATGATATGAAAAGCCAAACTATTTTAATCATAACCGTAAACCAAGCAAAACTGCCACTTGGTTTTGTGAATCTGAAATCAAATCCAAAAGCTGATTTCCCAAATGAAATGTCAACAACAAATCAAAATAACCAAACAAGGTAAAGAACTCACAAAAAGGAAAATCACAGATCAAAAATCGAATTTACAAGCAAAAACAAAAGCTTGAACCACCACATCCCAAAAAAATTGTAAACCTATCATATCTTCAACTAAAAACCCAATCTTAATAATGGGGATCAGATTTCATAATTCCAGATCCAAATAACAACAACAACAACAAAAACGCAACTCTCAGAACATTGTGCAAATCAAAACCCACAAACCCAAACATCAAATTTCAAATCTTTACTGGAAGAGCAATGCCATCAAGCATAAATTAAATCAGAAACCCAAAAGTTCCAAATGATATACCTCCAAGGAGTGAAGATGCTGATATATAGAAGACGAGCATTCAGACTTGGTTTGATCGACAGAGCTGGCAACAATCTCCGTCTCTTGAACCTCCATTTCTTTCTTCATCATGTTACTCTTCCTCATGGGTTTCTTCCGATCCGAGTTCTGAATCGACGAGTTGGTGAGTTCGCCCAGGACAACTCGCCTCTTGGGAGCGGGAATCTGCAGGGACGGAGAGGTGGAGCAGGGTCGCTTATTAGAGGAGCGGTTGGTGCTGACGGTGTCGTCCATGATTGAGAAATACAGAGAGGGTCTGGTTTTTCTTTCCTTTTTATGCTCTCAGGAAATGAAAGCAGCGATTGGAGGATAATGTGGCTGCAGGTTTATCAAGCTTGTGAGAAGACAAAGGAATGGAATGGCGGTATTTTTCCATTTCGAAAATCGTTGTTTCCCGCTCTGTACAGTATGTGGATTTCTTTTCTTTTGTGTGCCTCCGACGCCTTCACCTTGTCGCCTCGCCGCACCACCAACTAGCCTTTCTTTGATATCTAGGCATCTCCAACCGAAGACTATGCTCCGTCCAAATTATAATCATACAAGAAATTACTTTTTAATGAACAATATTAGATCATATTTATATACCATCTTCAACGGAATGGGATTATTCTATAACCCCTTCAATAATTTATTATTTTTAATTTATTTTTTTAATTTTATTCATTAATTTAATTAAACTACCATATTAAATTAAGGTTTTCGAATATATTTTGAGTGCTACTTGAAGATGTGGTCATTTGAAAATTATTGAAAAAAAAATTAAAGGAAAGATTATTGGAAGAGGTAAGAGTGTATGAAAAGAGTGTTTTAAGTGAATAGAATGTGAAGAATTGAAATAAAATAACGTAAGATAGTATGGAAAGGTGAGAAGGATGTGAGAAATGGGGTAGAAATGTCTTAAGTATTTATAAGGAAAAAATAGAACTTTTTATTTTGTCATAAAAGAAAAAAAATCAAGTTGGGCCTAGACCTGGCAATTCCTGACACAATCCGATAACCCGACACGACACGACACAAAATTAACAGGTGTTCGAATCGACACGATAACGAATCGGGTTGTTATCGGGTAACCCGATAAGCACCTGTTAAGATAACGGGTTGATTCGGGTATACACGTGGGTAACACGATACACGATAAGCAGAATATTAATTTAATAATTTTATAACCCTAAAAAATACTATAATTATATATATATATATATATATATATATTAAATTAACTATATTAATTATATATATATAATTTTAAATTAAATTTTATACCCTTAAAAACTATAATAATTATACTTACAAAATAAATAGATTTAAATCTACTTAATATATATATATACACACACACACATACATACCATTGACCTTGATGAGATATGAATTATACGAAACTAATTTCAACGATCCAACCGCAAAACTTGTTTGTATATGTTTCGAGATCGCATCATTAAAAATCACAAAAAAAAAATATTCAGAGATCAAGTAACCGAACAAAACTTTTCGACGGTTATAAAACGAAAAATCACAATTTAACGGTTATTTTAACTCCAATTTTTATGATTTTTTACAGCTACACTCATTGACCCTATATGAATACAATGAATGAATTTGATCTTCAATTTAAAATATTTACATTAGCGGATACCACAAAATCTTATGTTATACTTAATAAAAGTATAAATAAACTCTTAAATATTAGTGAATCTATTGTTTTGATGGGATACGCATTCTACAAAATTAGTTTCAACGATCCAACCGTCAAACTTGTTTGTATATACTTCGAGATTGCATACGCCAAAAATTGCAACAAACAAACATTCAGAGATTAAGTAACCGAACAAAACTTTTCGACGGTTATAAAACGAAAAATCACAATTTAACAGTTATTTTAACTCCGATTTTAATGATTTTTTACAGCTACACTCCTTGACCATATATGAATACAATGAATGAATTTGATCTTCAATTTAAAATATTTACACTAGTAGATACCACAAAATCTTATGTTATATTTAATGAAAGTATAAATAAACTCTTAAGTGTTAGTGAATCTATTGTTTTGATGGGATATGCATCTACGAAACTAATTTCAACGATCCAACCGTCAAACATGTTTGTATATACTTCGAGATCGCATACACCAAAAATTGCAAAAAACAAACATTCAGAGATCAAGTAACGGGACAAAACTTTTCGACGGTTCTAAAAAGAAAAATCACGATTTAACGGTTATTTTAACTCCGATTTTGATGATTCTTTACAGCTACACTCCTTGACCCTATATGAATACAATGAATCAATTCGATCTTCAATTTAAAATATTTGCACTAGTGGATACCATAAAATCTTATGTTATACTTGATGAAATTATGAATAAACTCTTAAATGTTAGTGAATCTATTGTTTTGATGGGATACGCATTTTACAAAACTAGTTTCAACGATCCAACAGTCAAACATATTTGTATATACTTCGAGATCACATACGCCAAAAATTGTAAAAAACAAACATTAAGAGATTATGTAACCGAACAAAACTTTTCGACGGTTATAAAACGAAAAATCACGATTTAACGGTTATTTTAACTCCGATTTTGATGATTTTTTATAGTTACACTCCTTGACCCTATATGAATACAATGAATGAATTCGATCTTCAATTTAAAATATTTACACCAGTGGATACCATAAAATCTTTTGTTATACTTAATGAAAGTATAAATAAACTCTTAAGTGTTAGTGAATCTATTGTTTTGATGGGATACACATTCTACGAAACTAGTTTCAACGATCCAACCGTCAAACATGTTTGTATATACTTCGAGATCTCATACACCAAAAATTGCAAAAAACAAACATTCAGAGATCAATTAACGGGACAAAACTTTTCGACGGTTATAAAAAGAAAAATCACGATTTAACGGTTATTTTAACTCCGATTTTGATGATTCTTTACAATTACACTCCTTGACCCTATATGAATACAATGAATGAATTCGATCTTCAATTTAAAATATTTACACCAGTGGATACCACAAAATCTTATGTTATACTTAATAAAATTATGAATAAACTCATAACGGGTCGGGTCACTTTATCCGTTGGGTAAAGTGACCTGACCTGTTAAGATAACAGGTGTGACACGACACGACCCGTTAAGATAACAGGTGTTACACGAACACGATAGACACGACCGGTTTGCCAAGCCTAGTTGGGCCCACCTGAATGGGCTGGCTGGCTAGCTAAAGACAGCCAACCCGCTGGCCATATGGCTGGATTTTAGCCCAGTGGGTCCCAAGATTTTTTTGTCCAGACCTTCATTAGAGATGGGTTTTGTGTCAAAAAGAGCTATCTCCCATCCAGATTATAAAAATTATTTTTTATTGAACACTACTAGGCCATATTTATATATCATCTCCAACCGATGGGGGCTATTTTTTAGCCCCCTCAATAATTTATTGTTTTTAAGTTTGTTATTTACCTTATTGGTTAATTGAGTTTAACTACCATATTTATAAATGAGTAACTCTTCCTATTTCTTATCTTTATGTAATCTTACTAATTTTTCAGATATGAGTTTAAAGAATGTGAAGAATTGAAATAAAATAAGGTAAGATAGTATGGAAGGGTGAAAATGACGTGCGAAATGGCTTAGATATTTATAGGAAAAAAATTAGATTTTGTTTTTAATTTTGTCTTAAAAAAAATTCAAATCTAACATATAGCTGATGTCAGCTAGCATGTGTGTTGTTGACAGCTAGGCCTAGTTTTCGGGCTGGCTGGCTGGCTTCAAATGCCCGACCTGATGGCCATGGGCTAGAGTTCCCCTTTCTCCTTTTGCCTAGACCTCCATTGGAGATGATTTTTTCTTCATTTTGGGCTATAAAAGAGCCTATAGCCCTATGGCTTGATCCATTGGATATGGCCTTAGGCAATTTCTAATGAAAAGGGCTAAAAGTCCAAAAATAAAAAAATGACCCGATTTGCTTAAAAACTCATCTCCAACTGATGACTTATAATTATATGGAGCCCAAGCCATTATTTAGCCAAGGGGCATCAGGCTAGCTAAATGTAGCCCCCTTTTGGCCGTCTCCAACCAAAAAAGCTAAACATAGCCCCGTCCAGAATTATAGCCCTCCAAAAATTATTTTTAAATGAACAGTGTCATGTCATACTCATATATCATCTCCAATCGGAGGTGGTAAACATAGACCCTTCAATAATTTATTAGTTTTAAGTTTAAATTTATTGGTTAATTTAGTTAAACTACCGTTAAATGTTTTCAAATCTAGTCGCTAAATTTGAATCAATTATTACAACTAAGAAACTGAGCTCCAAAAAAGGGCTAAGGCCATCTCCAATTGATCAAGCCATAAGGCACCTCCAATGGATCAGGTCGTAGGGCTATAAGCTCTTTTCCTCTGGAGGTCCAAGCCAAAGGAAAAAGGGGACCCATTAGGCCAAATTCTAGCCCATTGCCATCAAGCATGGCAATTGATGCTAGCCAGACTGCCCTGTAATGCTAGGGCGACTGTCAGCAACTCACATGGGATTTGACTTTTTTTTTTTTTTTTCAGACGAAATTTAAAAAAAAAAATTTAATTCTAATTTTTCCCTATAAGTATCTAAAGCCATTTCTACACCATTTCTCACATCTTTTTCACCATTCTATACTATCTTACCTCATTTTATTTCTATTCTTCATATTCTTAAAACTCCTTTCTAAAAAAAAAATTTTTTAATTTTTTTTTTGAAGCAAAACAAACATAGCATTCCAAAAAAATATTAAGTTTACATAAAGATAAGAAATTTGGAGAGTTACTCATTTATAAATATGGTAATTTAATTCAATTAACCAATAAAGTTAAAGAACAAACTTAAAAATAATAAATTATTAAGGGGGCTAAAAAATAGCCTTCTTCGTTGGAGATGGTATATAAATATGGCCTTGTAGTGTTCATTGGGGGATACATTTGGCCAGCCCGATGCACTTTTGACCAAATAATAGTTTGGTGGACTCCATAGAACTATAACCCAACCATCGGTTAGAGATGAGTTTTGAGCAAATTAGGTCATTTTTTGGCTTTTAGACCTTTAACACTCTCCATTGGTATGGCCTTAGCACTTTTTTTGGATCTCAACTCCTCAGTTGCAATAATTAATTCAAATTCAATGACTAGATGTGAAAACACCCAAATGTAGTTTAATTAAATTAACCAATAAATTTAAAAGTGTAAACTTAAAACTAATAAATTATTGAGATGCTATATTTAGCCTATTCGGTTGAAGATGATATATGAGTATGGTCTACACTGTTTATTTGAAAATATTTTTTGGGGCTATAAATATAGACGGACTATGTTTAGCTCTTTTGGTTGAAAATGACGTAAATTGTGGTTAACCCTTTGAAGTTTAGTAGTTTTGTCGTAGCACGGTTTCGGGTTTAGGTTTAGTTTTGCTAACCTTAAATACTATTAGTTACTATTTAATACCTAGGTGTGGCTAATCTATACCAAAGTTAGA